GCCAAGGTTGGAGTGCAGTTGGCGTGATCTCTGCTCACTGAAACCTCTGCCTCCCGGGTTCAAGCAAATCTCCTGCCTCAGCCTCCCGAGTAGCGGGGACTACAGGCACGCACCACCATGCCCAGCTAATTTTTGTATTTTTAGCAGAGACGGGGTCTCACCGTACTCCTGACCTTGAGTGATTCAACTGCCTTGGCCTCCCAAAGGGCTGGGATTACAGGCATAAGCCACCAAGCCTGGCCTAAAAAAGTGTATTCCTTTCGAACTGCATATTTCCCAACTGTGTACCAACAAGCCACTTTCTTACTAGAAAACTGTTGACTGAGATGGCTACTGTATTAAGCATCTGTGACTGTAAGTAGATTGCCTGGGAAAAGAGCAGGGACAAAGTTGATGGAGACACACTAGCACCTCCCCTGAAACTCTAGAGCTGAATGACAAGGTATTAAATAAATTTCTATAAATGTGGTACCTGAGTGTAAAAAGGTGCTAATTATGATATCTGTCACGGCAGAAATACATTTAAAGAAATTTTTGTCATAGTACACATACAAGCCATAATAAAGATTTATATATTCACAGTCATTGAACTAAAAAGCACAGGCAATTTATTTAAGGAAAGCATACAGTGTACTAGATTTATATCACATTAAAATATTACAATTCTGCCAGGTGTGGTGGCTCACACTTGTAATCCCAGCACTTCAGGAGGCTAAGGTGGGCAGATCACTTGAGGTCAGGAGTTGAGACCAGCGTGGCCAACATGATGAAAATCCATCTCCACTAAAAATACAAAAATTAGCCAGGTGTGGTGGCACGTGCCTGTAATCCTAGCTACTTGAGAAGCTGAGGCAGGAGAATTGCTTGAACCTGGGAGGCAGAGGTTGCGGTGAGCAAAGATCGCGTACCACCGTACTCCAGCCTGGGTGACAGTGAGACTCCAAATCAAAAAAAAAAAAAAAAAATTACAACTCATCTTTTTTGAAAAAAAAATTGAATTTTCATATCAGCTTGAGCGCCATATGCAACAGGAACCTAAGCTTTCT